CTAGGACAGGCAGGCTGCTTGGGAACCACCTGGGCCGGACCCTAGGACAGGCAGGCTGCTTGGCACCCACCTGGGCCGGACCCTAGGACAGGCAGGCTGCTTGGGAACCACCTGGGCCGGACCCTAGGACAGGCAGGCTGCTTGGCACCCACCTGGGCCGGACCCTAGGACAGGCAGGCCGCTCTGCAGACACCCGGGCCAGGCCCTGGGACAGGAAGGTCGCTCGGCACCGATCCAGGCCGGGCCCTGGGACAGGCAGGCCACTCAGAAAACCACCAGGGCCGGGCCCTGGGACAGGAAGGTCGCTCGGCACCGATCCGGGCCGGGCCCTGGGACAAGTGAGGCCACTGCCTCAGCATCCCCCACCCCAGCACCAGAATGGAACTGTAACTATGCACAAATTCCATTTCCCCGGGTTTGAGAATGGACTCAAGCAAAGAGGGAATCTGATGTCTGATCGCCTCTGCAGCCACTGAAAGACCATCTGTATGGGCTTTTAAAAGTCAATGGCACAAAGCAGCGTCAAGTTTGTCAGGTGCAGCCGGTTCAGTTCAACACCCCCAGGACTGGAGTTTGCCGTCCTCCCTCCCAGTCCAGCCCACACCCAGGCAAGCTCAGGCTTGTCCCCCGTCATCACAACCATGGTTCCTGGACGTGGTGTCGCCAAGAAAACAAACTCAGGCTTTGAAGGAAATGCATGCACACACATACACACACACACACCAGACCCTCAACTCATCTTTCGATGTATGTAATGGTTCTGAGAAGGTTCTCTCAAGGTTCTCTTCTCAGAGGTTTCCATGACTACTAGCCAACAGGCTCTGCCGGCCTGTCAAACGCGGACGCTGGCAGAGCGGGAGCCTGGCTCCATGTTGGCTGTGGAGAGGGAACTGTCATTCACTGCTGTGTAGTGAAGCTGCCCCCAGCCCCACCCCCAACACACATTACGGTGCTTGTAAACACCCGTGCTTGGTTTCTGCTAACACGCTCCGTTTTAAAACACGCAGCAGAACAGGCACCTCAGCCTCTCTGGCACGTAACCTCATATGTCTCTGAGAGGGACACACTGCAGGTTGGCTGCAGACCACCGTGGGGGGGCACAATCTGTGGGTCTCTTCTACCCATCGCACTCAAGGCTGGCTGTAGGGTCAGCAGGATGTGAAGACATGTCTGCCTGCGTGTGTGTGTTCTGAGATGAATCTGCTCACGTAAGCAGATGTCCCGTGTTTCCAAAAGAGAAGAGAGGCCCACAGCTCAGCGGAAACCCAACCCAGGGGGCTGAGTCCAATGGGGGCCCAAACCCATGGTGAGACGGGATAGTGGGTCGGGCTTGGAGACCCAATCCCCAGCCCTGAATAGCAACAAATGTGACCATTACAATTAGTGGTATTATTACTGAGAAGAGGCCAATCAGCACATTGTCTTTGGCTATTCAAATATCTCTGCCTGGGTCGAAATCTAGAGGCGTGGAAGTGTACATAAACTAAAGCAGTGTGAAGTTCACTCCAAACCACAGTGCCCTTTGTGAAATCTTCACCAAACAGTTCCCACCTGTTGCCTTGAGGTCATAAGCCAGTGGTCACCAGCACTGACCGTATCTGTGCTCCAGCGCATTTTGTGTGACTGACGTGCCGCCACTCTGTGGCCTCTGCAACTGTACTCATTCCATGACTTATAGGCAGAGGGAGCCATGCAGTGCATGCTGCAGTGCATATTGCAGTGCAGCTACGTGACTCCTTAAGTGATTCAGATTTCTGCTGCACATTGTGTGGTTTTCCAGCAGAATCATAATGCCCTCCATAGCTGCACTGGCTTTAGGTCTTAGGGAAGCTAAATTTATCTTGGAATGTGAAGCGATAAAGATGGCCATGTCTGTGAGAGGTACTCTGACAGAACAGCCTTGCACTTCCTCCCTGTTCCAATGAGAGGCGAGTTCCTGTGTGCCTTGAACAGGAAGCATGACATCAACCTAGCAGCAAAGCAAAATGCACCTTTGGCAGGACGTGCTTCTGAGTCCTGACCACACCTGCAACTTCAGGAGTTCACCACGGACCCGGGGGCTGGACATTCAACTCGGGACCACAGAAGGCTTAGCAGCAGAGTACAGTGCATGCTGGGATGCAGGTGGGACAGCACATCGGCCCTCAAAATGCACAACTTGTTGCACAACCCTGAGATAACAAATGCAGAAACATGTGACTTGGCCAGGGGTCATGCTGATTACTCAATCTCTTCTTCGCACTCTATCAAGTCCCTTTTACATGACAGTTGAGATACTAAAACATCTGACCAATAGCGTTAATCACAGATCAAATTAATTATATATATTAACCAACAAACCACTGGAAAAGTTTAAATGCAACACATGATCTCTTTGCCCCAACTAATGTAACCCACACTTCATGCAGATAGAGGTCTATGACTTAAACTTAGTCTGCATCTACTGGTCTATACTATTCTTCCTGGATTCCAGATGAACATTAATACAACACGCAGGCCATGCACAGGAAATGTCCTCTACACAGGTTTAAAAATTACATCTGTAAAGTTAAAGTGAAGTTCAAAGGCAACAGAGCAATATATAAAAATACAAGTGTACCAAATGAGACCAGCTGAAAATAGCTCCCCAACTCTGTAATTAATTCAGAAAGACCAAACAACCCTAATTACATGGTACATCATGAAAAGCAATAAGTGATAAACCCCACCTACTCCTTTGTAAATAAATGCTTAAGGTTTTCAGACTTCCAACAGAGAAATCCCACAGCCTGAACAGGCAGCCGCAATCCACAAAAGAGGCCTCATCCAGCAGCCGTACGTGTCCGGTCAGCGGACTCGTCACTTCCACACAAAACGGGCACTACGTTTCCGTGCCAAGAGCTAAAGCCAAAGACGATGATTACAGCCCAGATCCTCAAAACAGACTCCACCAGGACAACCTACAGCGAAAGGTCCCAAAGCGATGTCAAGGTGTCACCTGCCCCGAGCCGAAGGTGACCCACCTGTACGACTGGCAGCCGATGCAAACGTGGCGTGAGGGCAGCAGATAGACTCCCCATCTAAGCCTCGAGTGCATGGGGATACTGCCGTTCAGGCTGCGGCCCCGGACCGAGCAGAGCCAGGGGTGGGTTCCAGCGATCGGGTTTCAGTGGGTAAATATAGCAGCTGCCTGTGACCTCCACAGGTCACCCGCTGCCTGCTGGAATTCCAGCGCTGAGGCGGCCATTAGCGCCTCTTTAAAGGGCTCATCATCCCCCGCCCTGATCCTACCCCCACCGGCCCAGCAGTTCCTTATTTATATACGCCAAAAACCGCAAAACCTGATCTGACATCTCTGTTCGGTGACGACTACTACTCACAATACTCACGGGACACCAGAATCACTGAGACGTTACATGGTTACATGTCCGGGGGGTGCAGCCTATGTTTGCATTATGTCACTTTCAGATTTGATAGTTGTATCACTTTATCCAGAACACGTTTTCAATAACTGAGCATTAACCAGTTCAGTTTAATAAACTGACTTAGGACACAACAATGATAATCTCTGACATTTCACCAGAATCAATTTTTACTTAGTTTTGCTCAGTTTATTTCATGATTCATATTTGTTAAAGGGCCCTAATACTTGTTATTGAATTTCAAATGAAGCATATGTATTTTCTTGTTTGTTGTACACATCATCATATGTATTTTCTTGTTTGTACACATCATCATTCTCTGGTTGACAAAAAAATCACCTCTCATTAGGACATCATAAACCAATAACGGGTCGGAGTGCTGGGAAGGCTCACATTCCGAGTCTTTACGACTTCTATAATGAGAAAGGCTGTGATTCTGACGTTGCTGCGAGTTCTCCGAATATCTTTCTAAATGTAATAAAAATACTAAACTTCTACAGGTGCATCAATCTTGACTACAAAGAGTTTAAAAGGCCGTAATATTTACTTATTATAATTTATTAACTGCACCGTGACAGTATCTTACATACCGCCTGTATGTGTGTTACACTTTCAGTGTAGCTCATACGACCCCCTCCCGGCCAGATTGACAGAGTTTTAGCTGAAACTTCAAATTACAAATATTCTAAAAGTGAAACATATGGGAGGATGTCGCGAGGCATCCGAGTTCACTTTGAGTAGGAAGCCAAAGCTGCCGATACGCTGCAGGGAGAAATTCCTGCACTTGTACCAGGAATCAGGAGAGCCAGTGGTCCATTAGATGAAATAAACGCCATATTAACAGTAAGCACGTTTGCTTAATAGATAGGGAGATAAATGCATTTTAACAAAATTTCCTATTATCATAACGATATTATGCTACCCATGCACATGATATACCGCACAACACGTCATACACCTGAGTGCTCTTCGTTTCAGTAGCTCAGTGGAAGGTAAACGGATTAATCGTTTTAACCCCCGTGCCCACTCATATTCGTGGGCGTTTATTCCGTCTATTTCCGCGTCGTTGATAAAAAAAGTCGAAGTTGAATCGTCCGAGCCGCGCGCACCAATATCTAAAAGTGAAGGACCGTTTTCAGCCGGAGCACACTCACCGCAGTCCGGGCTCATGTCACTGGCGTCTCTAAATAAGCTTATTTTTCCCCTGCTCTCTCAGGGATCCTTCCAGGCTGGTGCTCGAACACTGCTCTAAAAAATATTACTTATTTCTTCCTAACCACGTCTCTGTATCGCACCGTAGTTTGTAACCGAATAACGGATCTTTCTCTTTAACTCTGACGTCAGTCTGGCAATGCTTGTCGCTGATTGGATAACTGCGAGCCTAGACGCCCCCCCCCAAAAAAGCTTTTTGTCACGATCCGTCCCAGGAAGGGAAGAAAGAAGGAAACACCCAAAAAAAAAAAACCCCACCCCCTCCGTACTATCGCCTTGGTGATGTAGGTAAACAGAAAGCTCGAAGACGCACATTACAAACGAAGATGTTCTTCAGCGACCGGATGTGTGACTGCTCCTCCTCTTACGGCTTCAGTTCCCGTGTATCGGTATTGGCCACATTTGCGCAAAACTGGATTTGAATAATTCATCTATTATTCAAATTGTAACAGTTATGACTAACAGAGATGTGTCATTCTTAATATTTATTTACTATTAATCTACATCCAGTATGCGTAACTGGACCTACTATGTGTACACACTACTTACTGTTTCAAACGTGGTATTATTTTTCCGTCCATACATCATCTAACTGCTTATCCTGGTCAGAGTCGCGATGTGATGTTATTTTTACTTATAAACATTTCCAACGTTTCCAAGTTCAAACATTTTCATCCAAACAACTAATTCTTGTATTATATTTCGCTGAACTGTTTCAGTACGTTGTACTATGTGCAATGTTATCTCCACCTATTCGCGTCTTACCGCCCGGTACATTAAACTGAGGTAAGAGTTATATGCCTCCTAAGTAACATCGCATCTTTATTATTACGTAACCATTTTCTTCTTTGTTCATTTCATCCAGTTAACAAAAATTGGTGGCATAGGACAACTAGTGGTCGGAGGTCAAAACATCATAGTCCAGAATATTTTACGTTACCGTCGAGGTGTTCATATTTGAATTTGAAAAAAAAGAAGAAGAAAAAAAGTGTTCCTGAACAAATATGCAAAATGATATTTCTATTCATCTATCTTTCATAACCATTTACCCAGTATGGCATCAGGGTGGGCCTGGATCTCCTCTATAAGGGATACCAGTCCAGGGTTTCTGCAATGCCCAGCTGTATGTTTTTTAACTGTGAGTGGAAACTGGAGATACCAGTAAACTGTTTGACCAAAGTGTTCTCCCTGGAGTGTGGCACACACTGCATATCACAGTGCCACACTGCTGTGCTTGGCTGCTGGTGGTCCCAATCGGGAGAGAAAAAACTTTTAACACACACATTAGATGTTTAGCAGAGAACTCATTTGCATTTATTGCGATTTACAAACTGAAGCATGCGGTATGTAGGGCTCCGCCGTAGGTGCATCTGCAGAGAAAGGAGAGGATAAACACGTGTGGTGTGACTCCAGCACACATCACCATCAGCACTGGGAGACGCACCCTGCTGTATTTACGGTGGGGCTGATACACACCTGCCTTAAGCACAGGGAAAGGTGTACTCAGCCAAAGTGTAGTCACCTGAAAAACAGGCCGGAGTGAGATACCAGCCAACACTGAGCACACGCTCCGATTAGCTCATGCACGCACACGCCCATATGGGGGATGTCCTTACTGGTCTGGTAGTAGTCATACATCTTGACTATGGCCGGCTTAAGGTCCTTCACGTTGACCTGTTGTTCAAGTTGCAGCGTGTAGGTCAGCGGAATGTCTCTATGCAGCTGTTTAAAAGCAATAAGAAATGGCTGTATATTATCCAGAGGAATTTAGTGTGTGAAGACTTGTTCCTGTGCACATGCTTATTCAAAGCCTCACCAACCGCCTGAAATATGTAACCGCATCACTGGCAGCACAAGTCAGAAACAAAGTATCAAAATCTAGCTGCTAGGCCAAGGCGCCACCGTGCTGTTTTTGAATAGTGATCCTTGCATCTTTGGAAACACACCATTCTGCCCGGTCAGCAGCTCCCAGCATCTCAGCATTGATACAGCTCCTTAGCCTGTCATTAAATCTGTCAGCGCTAAGAGTAAAAAAAGTACCTCAGCCACATAGATGATGACATGGTCATCTTCAACATCAACCCGATCGATGCTTATGGACGTCTTCAGCTGTGAGATACAAATGTGCAGCCTGTTAAACTTATGCACGCTGGAATAGAAACGCAAAGTACAGATGGTCAAAAGTACAGAGCGGTGACCCACCGTCTTCAAGGATGACTGCATGGGAACAAAGCCTGACAGCATGCCTACGTCTACTATCACCATATTGGTGTTGTTCATCAGCCCATTATATCTGCAACAGAAGAACACAGAGGAATGTTCTGTACCACGTCTTTTTTTTTTGCATTAGGGTCTCCAGTGTTCATTAAAGTTACTGCAGTTAAAAAGCTCGTAGTTGGATCTCAGGATTGGGCTGGTGGTCCACCGTGAGGCGAGGTACCGCCTGACCCGGCCCCTGCCGGTTGGCACCCCCTCGATGCTCTTAATACATCTCATAATTAATACTTTTGATTGTAGCCAATTGACTACAAATGACTAAAGCTGAATTAACAGATTCACAGATTTCCTGGAGTGATTTGGATTGAGCTCCTCACTCAGGAGTATTGCAGCAATTTTTCTGCAGCAGTCTGAACAGGCAGCCCAGTTGCCCAGTAATGAAATTTTATACTTTTTACAGCATCATATCCATGGAACTGCACCCACTTTATGGTGAAGTCGAGCGGTAGGATTTTCTGTTGCCGAGTGGAGCTGCAGTCACTGTTGGTGTTGGTGACAACGCTGAAGGTGGTGCTGAGAGTCGGTGTTGGGATGTTGTAATGAAGCACCAGCTGGGAGTTAAACACAACACATGCCGTATCCAAAAGGCCACTAAACACTCGTCAGTGTCGTGCTCACGTGTCCTTTGTGAAAACCTCTCAAATGCAAATCTACCAGTCTGACTATCAATGTTGCACAATAAAATGCAAAATACACAACATGGACAAAAGTATTGGGACATCCATAGTAATTACAGGAGTTGCCCACTTAAGCCACACCCACTGCTGATATACTGGTGTATAATTAAGCACTCAGTCATGCAACCTGCAGCATCAAACACTGGCAGCAGAATGGGGGGGTCATATAGAAGAGGTTAGTCAGCCTGGCACCATCATTGGACACCACTGGACACCACAGGACACCACCGGACACCATAGGACACCACCGGACACTATAGGACACCACCGGACACTATAGGACACCACTCCAACAAGTCGATTCCCCACATTTCTGTCCAGCTAGAGCTGCCCTGGACAACCGCAAGTGAACTGGAAACATCTGGGAGCACGTCCAGTCGTGAGGTGGGGGCCACACAAGCTGACAGAGAGGGGCTTGATCACCTAGCATCAATACCCAACCTGAATGGCAGCAAATCCCTCCAGCAGTGTGTACCAACGTCTAAGGGAAAGCCTTCCCAGAAAAGTACATCCTCCGGAGACCCAAGGAAAAAAGTGTCCTTCAATTACAGGGTATTTGTTTTTGGAGGAAATAAGACTTCTTACAATTTAGATTTTTTCAAATTTATTTTTATTTTTAATTTCACAGCATGTCCTCTTTAGTTTACAACAGGAATAAATATGTTTCCTTACATCAGTGAAAAGATAGATGTAAAAACATGTCCACTACAATGGACATAAATGAATGGGTGGGGTCTCAGGAGGATATAATCTAAGGGTTAGCCAGCTTCATACTAATACACTTTGATTCAGAGTGAGATGTTGGACCGACTGATGTCCCAATACTCGTCCACATAGAGTATTTGTTTAGTGTGGTTTGTATTTTTAATGAATGCCACTAAATGGTCATTGCTCTGCTAGAGTAACACTCACCTGTGCAGAGACACAGCTAGTGCCCTGCACTGCAATGCTGTAGAGTCCTTGGGGGTCCTGCAGCGCCCTCTCCTGGTAAAGCAGCCTGTTGTCTTCATTGACGGTGAAGTGATGTTGCTCTGCACCTGCTGACTGCACGCTCACTGTGCTGGAACCATCTGGACTGTAAACAGCGGTGGCGTAGACAGAGAGCGCCTGCAGAGCCAGCACCGTGTCCTGTGCACATACAGCACGGCTCGCTGAGCGGCTCATTTCCTATTATGCACCAAAACTACACAAACTACATGGCTCAAGGGAATGACACTATATCACACACACACACATACAGGTTACCTGTATGGGGTTACCTGTGTGGTGGAGGTTACCTGTATGGGGTTACCTGTATG